GAAAATTGTGTGTCATGTGTACATGTCCCCCCTAGAAAACTAGCTGTTACACATTTACCAGCACACTGCTGGAAATAATTCACATAAACAAAAGCTTTTTAGGGTTTTCAATAATTTTTAAGAATATAAAGGAGTTCTGTGACCAAGTTTGAGAACCACTGTTCTACACCCCACTAGCCAATAGGACTACTTTTAGTGTGGATGAGATGGGAAAACAAAGATTTGCCTTTCAATAGCACCAATGAAGTATATACATCATGGAAACTCTTTGGAATGGAGATAGACCTGTAATACTTAGGGAACTCCAGATAACAAAATTTCTTCTACCAATTCAGATCAAAATGTGCCATGCAACTTACAGTCATCAATATTTGCATAGAACATTAAGACATTAAGAGATTGGCCCACGGCCACAAAGCCAGTGTGTGTCAGAGATAGCTTTTGAACTTGGAGCTTCCTAAGTCCAAGGCTATCCCTCAAAAACACTTTACACATTACGAAGAGATTTTCAGAGACTGATCTTCATCTTGTGCAGACAGCTAATTTAAGTGCATCGTGAAAAGGAGAATTAGGTGTTCAAAGGGTTAGATGAGGATCTTAGGATCACAGATTTAGAGCTTGAAGTTACCTTAAAACTCACTGAGTCTAACCCTTCACTTTATATAAAAGGAAACCGAGCCCCAGGAGATTAAATTATTTCCCCAGGGTCATAAGCTAGTAAATGTCCATGAACCCTAGATTATAAGTCTATTAAAAAAATCTGTCTGAAATATGAGAGGAAGGCATACTAGGAGCTAACATTCATAATCAGGCTTTAGCTCTATCACCATAGACATTCATCATATAAAGTGTCTTACATGGTGCAGAAATTATGTTGGAATTTTATGACACCTGATAAGCAAGAAACATATGCTTCCAATGTGGAAAATGGATTTAGAGAGACTCTTGACCATTTGTATGAGGTTATCATATTCAAGGTTATGAGGCTTACAAAGCAATTGTGTACCCGAGCCACACATGGTTAAACGTTCCATGAAGAGTTGTTGATACGCTTCTCACTTCTCTTAGGAATGTGTGACTAAGAGTTTAATGAGTGAGCAACAAACTGGCTAATGGAATAACCTTTGCCAGCTTCCTGTTATACGTGGAATGTCCCTTTGCTGTCTTAATTTGCAAGGCTAGTTACCATGATTTTTTAAAAAATCCTACTTTCAAATGTTAAATACTTGAGGAGAAAGGACAGATTTATTTTTGTACAAAGTGCAAGCTCATTAGGAACAAATATATCTCTGAGAATAGCACTGCACTAACTGAGTTAAGGTCCATGGCCCCAGATTTAATTTCATATGTAGGTTAAGAATACATTTATATTCAAGGATGTATTACTATAAAGGGTGAAGTTCTGAGGTCACTGCCTGAATAAATGCCAATTTGGAAAGATTTCCATTTGTGTGTATTTAGTCCAACCAGGTAAACTGAACATTGGCTTCTTTCATAGACTCTTGGAGATTATAATATGTCTTTACATATGTCTTGCTGCTCTTTTTTTTATTAGGAAAAGTAAACACTCTTACATGCTTAAAAATGTGTTAGAGGTTCATGATTGTGATACATTGTCTATATTTCCCAACTCTTTCAATGTGTTGATCTCTTTTGCTGATTTTTTCTCTTTTTCTTCCTTTTTTCCTTTAAAAATATTGCTATATGGGATGACTTTCTTGGAGAGGGGACATGTGATTCTGGGAAAAAATTCTGGTGATGTTAAAAACGAAAGATAGCAATAAAATATATATTTTTCAAATTACAGAAAATTTTCTCTACAAATCTGAAAGGTGACTTGTAAAAGAAGTGCTGTGGTTGAGCCAATAAGTCATTATGGTTGCTATGGAATAGCCACTGATAATGTAAAATGGACCTGGCATTCACCATGACAACCATGTAGGTTATTTTCAGGTACAAGAAAAATTATCATCACAGGGATTGGCTCTGGCTAGACAGCCTTCTATTTGGTAACTAGTTGACCTCTTCAGGTTATAGCTGACTTAAGATAACTGAAGTTGTACATTGATAAATATTTGATTCCAAATTTTGAAAGATTAAGAGTTACTTAATCAAACAGGACTCCTTTGGGAAAGTAAAGGAGTTGGAGAGGGAAAGGATGAAATGTAAGATCAGGTGAAAAAACAAATAACTTCCTGGTAATAAAGGCTGCTTTTCACTTTTAAAAGGTTTTAAACCTTCAGCACTAATCATTGACCCACCTGGACCCAAGAGTACCAAGAGGTGTTAAGCTAAAGACTCTCCTGTTGTTGGCTTCCAAGTAAAACAGGAAATGACTTGCATTCCTTTTGATGAGGAATTGGGGAATTTGGGATGGTAGCCACATTAAACATCCGGAAGGTAGATAATAAAATCCATGAAGGACGGAGAAAGGAGTGGTGTCTAGTCTCAAACGTCCCTCTCAATCTGTACTGTCCTTGAGTTTTACTAGGGTCCCAAACAGCCTAAATCAAAAACTCCCAATCTTTCCCAGCATCTGATATATTTCTTTCAATGTTATAATTTAATATAAAAATGCCCCAAATACCTACATGCTCAAGTAAGAAACATTCATCACAAAAAGGGTAATCGCTCACGTAACAGATAGGGCATGCCAGGTAGCATAGTGAATTACGTTGGATCTGAAGACAGAAAGTCCTGAATTCTAGCCTCAGACACTTACTAGCTCTATCACCCTGGGCAAATCATTAAACCTTTCTTGGCCTCAGTCTACTCATTTGAAAAATGAGCATAATAATAGCACCTTCCTTATAGGATTGCTGTAAGGATGAAATGGGATAATATATATAAAGAAATTTGCAAACCTTAAAGTGCTATATATGAATGCTAGTTATTATTTTTTTCTGAAAATAATGACCTAAAGGAAAGCAACAAGGATAATCAACATTTCTTTGGACTCACATTTTCCAAGATTAATAACATTTCTTAAGATCTCAAGCATTTCTAAATGTGAAACACAGACACAAATAAAAAGCAGACTTTGCAAAACTAACCAGGGATGAAAGCCAAGGCTGCATTAGTTTAATTTGTGCATCATTCAAGAATGACCACTGTCACCCCAAATCAAGAGATTAGCTGCACTGCAGACACTAATGACTGGAAATGCACAAGACAGCCACATATTAGTGAAAACCTAATCTCCAATTAAGAGTTTTTTCCCCTGAATTTTTTTGGTCCAGATAAAGATTGGCTTTGGACTGTTGTCTTTTCTAACTGTGGTCATATTTGATCGCCACTCAGGGGTATGCCCAGCATGCTGGGTCATCGTGGAACAGCTTGACTTCCAGCTTTATTCAGCATTTCCTTTATTATTAGGCTACATCTGAATTCAGGCAGAAGAAATCACTGGGACTAAATTAGTTTGTTGGACTAGATGAGTTTCTTGCTTATCAGGTGTCATAAAATTCCAACATAATTTCTCCATCATGTAAGACACATTTAGAGTTTAAATTTCTCTCTCTCTGTCTCTCTCTCCCTCTCCCTTCCTTCCTTTTTTCTTTCTTTCTTTTTACCTTTGGTGTATCTGAAGGGAAAGGAGAGATATGAAGGATAAAGATGATTTTTCAACAGAATCTGAAGTGTAAACTAGGTATGAAAGAGGCCTGGATACCTCTGGTGAATTAGTCAATCATTCAAAGGCATTTTAATCAAGTATGATAGAAAGTCTGTTTGAAGGAGGAACATGATGACATTGTGGGGCTTGCATAAAACGACTGAGCTAGTTTGGAATCAAGGATTTGAGCTTCTGGTGGCTTAGTGGCAGAAGCAGCTGCTAAGAATGAATTACATGGGGTGGGAAAGAGAGCCTCAGTTTCTCTCTTAATCTTTTTATTCCTCCCCCATAATTTGGGTTAAGGAGGACCTGGTGAATTTCAGAGGGCTGTTTGCTGGCATCCTAGAGGTGTCCCTGATACAGCATCAGCAGGAAGCACTGTCTGCATTGGACAGGGAACCACCTAGACACATTGAAGAAACGAAGATGCAAGATTCTACAAGGAGCCCAGGAGACAAGATGCACCACACCTAAGGGAAATATTTTGAGCGCTAAAGCAAAAGGACTTCCAGGAGCTATCAGTTATCTCCTTTGCCATACCTAATGTAATATTGAACCCACTTTCCCTTGAATTATTTTTGTTCTTGTGGGAGAAAGTATCATAGACTTTTTGGGGGAATGTTCACTGTTCTTACTATACCACCACAGTAAATGTCCCTTTCTAAACACTAATTAGGGCATCTAGATGACACAGTGCATAGAGGACCGGACAACTCATATTCTTGAGTTCAAATCTGGCCTCAGACATTTACTAGCTATATTGGCCTAATCCTGGACAAATCACTTAATCCTCTTTATCTCAGTTTCCTCATTTGTAAAGAAAACCTCAGTCACAAAGAGTTGGATAGAACTGAAAACCCCTCAACAACAACAACAACAACAACAAACAACAAAATAGCAATGAAATAACAGTTCCATTTGCCCGAAAAAAAGAGAAAAAAAATTTTCCCAAGGTCACATGGTACCTTAGTTGGGATTCAAACCACTGCCCCTCATTGCCTTTCATAAACCATTCTGAGATGGCAAAAATCATAAAAGGACTTCGGTTTAGTTTTATTTTTGGCCCAGATTTGGGACTTCAAGATTATAGGTATCTCCACATGTGGAAATTCTATCCTCATGAATATCTTCAACTTGTAGTCTTAGAGAATCACCTGGGGCATAGAAATGTTAAGTGACTGGCTCAGGGTCAAGTACCTCCTATGTGTTCAAAGATGGGCTTAAACCCGGGTCTTCTTGCATCCAAGTCTATTCTCTGGCTGCAATACCAAACCACAACTCATCAAAGTGGTTAGGTGCTTTTTTTTTTTTCTTTCTTTGACCTCGATGTGAATTTATTTCCTTACATTCATGCATTTGTTACATCCCTATGTGGCTCTTTCCTTACCTGTTGCATCCTCCGCAGCATCTCTTTCTTTTGCTGCTCCCAGTCCTCACGCTCTTTGTCTAATCGGTCAAGAAGTTCCACTTTTTCCCTTTTCCAGTTTTTCTCATTGTGATGGACTTGCCAGCGTAGCTCCATCACCAAGCTATGACTTTCTGCAAGTAGCTTCTTGAGCTCCTCTCTCTCCCTTCGGAAAGCTCCCTTTAAATCAAAGGAGGGAGACACTTCTCCCGGATTTCTCTCAGAATTCTTTCCTTCCAGCTGTCAAAAAGACAAAGGGTAAAACAACAGTCACCCAGCCAGATTTGCCATTTGTATCATTTCTTGCACAATGCTGATTTGTACATTCTCTGTTTCTTTTCACAAAGACTTGTGACTCCATTACTGTTAATTATATATTAGTCTGAACCAAGAGACAGCAGGTTGAATAATGATAACTCGTGGTGCTTTGAGATTTTTGGACTATTTTATAAACATTGTCTAATTGAGATTAGTACCACAGGTATTCTTATCTCCATTTTATAAATGAAGAAACTGAGGCTCAGCCATAAAAGATATGCCCATGGTCACAAGCCAGTATCAGAGATGGCATCTTTCCTAACTTAAGCTCCAGTGTTCTTTCCACCACAGCACACTTGGGTATTGTAATGTAGGCAGCCAAGTGTGTTGTTTATTGTTGTTCAGTTGTTTCTGTCATGTCTGACTCTTTGTGACCTTGTTTGGGGTTTTCTTGGCAAAGATACTGGAATGGTTTGCCATTTCCTCCTCCAGCTTATTTTTACAGAAGAGAAAATTGAGGCAAACAAGGTGAAGTGACTTGCTCAGGATAAAAGCGAGTAAGTGTCTGAGGCTGGATTTGAACTCAGATCCTCCTGTCTCTAGGCCACCTAGCTGCCCCAAATGTAACAGGCTCTAGTTTGAGATGCCTAGTGTTAAGGGGCTCAAACCTTAGGCTATCTTGTGATAGAGGAAGAAAATATCTACCCATTTCTAGAACTATAGGATATAATACTAGATGGCACCTTATGGCTCATCTAGTCCAACATCTTCATTTTACATATGAAAAAACTGAGGCCCCAAATGATGAAATGTTTTTTCCAAGTCATACAGATAGCACAGCGGGACTTTCAACCCAAGGTTCCTGACTCCAAATCCAGTGCTCTTCCTATTTCACCATACTGCCTCTCAAAGACCATCACATCACTGACAACATATTTAGACCCAAGGTGTGAACTATACAAGAAATATTTTTCTTTTTGAACAATAAACCACATTAGATTAGGGCCAATTTTTCAGGTGACTAGACAGAGGACCCTCTGGGAGACTAGATTTTACGGACAGTGTTCATTTAGGTTTGCATTATCCATCATTGTCCTTTCCCTAATGGGAATTGTACCCATGGAAAATAATGGTGTCAGGTAAGATCCTGATGAATGAAGGGAGAAGCCAGGAGACCCAGGACAGGGTATCAAATTTTACCTAAATAAAAATGCTGATGTAAAAATGGGAAGAGATCAAATTAGGAACAGAAAGGGGAGAAAAAACCTACTATTACAAGTCAGAACCCATCCACTCCAGCCAGCCATGTTCTTGCCATCTTCCTTACTGCTATACCCTCCATGCCACCTGGCCTTCAGGATCATGAACTGGGTGACTTAATCCATTGGCTTTGGTACTCTCATCCTGGGGTCTAGTTGTACTATTTGGTGATTGAGTGAGGACAAACTGACTGATCTCCCTGTATCCAAATGCTTCTAGACCAGATCATACTTCATATCCCATAAAGCTGAACTCGTCAGATATCTTCTTGACACCTAGAATGCTTCTGCACATTCTGCCCTTCCCGCACACACCTCCCCTTTCCACTGTTTGTTCTGGAAACCATATTCAAATTAATACTACTAATACTAGTTAATATTTATAGCACCTACTATGTGCCAGGCACCATGTTAAGTACTTTATAAACTTACTCTCATTTGCTCTAACTAACCATTGCTTCTGGAAAGATAAGGTCTATCAATTTCCCAATGGATCCACTCAACATTCTTATGACCCCTTGGACCAAAACACCCTTCCCCAATATGTTGTTTCCTTTAAATAGAATAGAAGTTTTTTGAGGGCAGGAACTGCTTTTGTTTTTGTATTTATATCACTTAGCACCGTGCTCAACAAATTATAAATATTTGATAAATGTTTTTCATTCATGCATTCAGATGTTAGAAAATGTGCAAAATAACCAAGGAAATTCCCAAACCAAAATCTTCCTGACAGCCCTTGTCTAAGGTGAAAACATCATATTTTAAATCCCTTTTGGAAATACTAAACCATTTGTAGACTTCTGCCAGCCTAATGATTTAAATTCTATGCCTTTTTTCATTCCTCTACTTTGAACTGGATGTTCAGTGGACAAAACTTCTTTCAATATCCACACATCCTCTAGGTAACTATAAAATGTTGTCCCTCATCCTCCCTGGTCCTTCCCGCCCCCCCCCCCTTTCCTTCCCCTTTAACTCCCTCAGTGACTGATATCGATTGGGATATTTTACAGACAAGTAGTATATCAATGTTAAATGGCTGGCTCCAGGCTACTCAGTAAACAATAATGGCATTAGAAATGGGAAATGGAACCCATTACTATTAGCTGGTCATTTTGTCCCAAGGATTGAGCCACTTCACAAATCAGATTCTATGATTTGCTTAAAGGTAAAGAGTAATACACTGATTCCTAGTTCCTGGAAAGGGGGAGAGGGAATATCAAGTAGTTACTTAATTGAATCTTCCATGCATAAGCTATAATATTCTTAAAGGTCTCCTGGGAAGAAAAACACAAAATCTCCCTTGGAGTTGTATATTACAGCTATAATGCCGTTGGTGGGTATATCAGTCTCTTCTCAGAAGAGATGAAGAGTCTTTGATCACAGTTCCTGCGTAATTGCTTTTTTCCTAATAGCAACTGAACGTTAGCCATGGTTCTTACACAAGCTGATTGTGTGACCCTGGGCAAATCACTTAATACCTCAGTGACGCAGGGAGCAAAGACAATAAATTGCAGATGAGTTGCTGAATTTCATTGGGAGGAGGTATTTCCTCATGGGTGAAATCACAGGTCCTGAAAGGAAGGTGAGAAGATAGGAGGGGAGAGGAAAGAACAGGAGAGGAGAGAAGGAGGGGAGGAGATAAGACAAGAAGAGAAGAGAGGAGAGGAGAGGAGGAAAGAATAGGAGAGAAGGTAAGGAGGGGGAGGAGAGGAAAGGAAAGGAGAGAGGAGGAAAGAAGAAGAGAGGAGGGGGGAGGAGAGAAGAAGAAGGGAGAGGAACAGAGAGGACAGGAGAAGAGGATTAAAATAGTACCTGAATTAAACACAGAGGATTTAGAGTTGGCAGGGAACTTGGAAAAAAATCCTTCAAAAATGTAAGACCGAGGAGATATCAGCATGGGAGAGGAATGTCTATGCAGACAAGGAAATCTGGGGAATTGTGATCTGCTTTGGAAGTCAGGGTAGCTATGCACATAGCACTGTATATACCTGCTCCAGGCGGCTTTTCAGCTCTGCCCACTCCACCTCCCAGGCAGCCTTGTCCTTGGCATACTGTTGTTGCAGTCCAAGGCGATCCCGTTCATCTTCCCTCATCTCCAAGTGGAAATCATCCAGCAGAGTCTTAAGGGAATTTATGAGATTCCGATTTTCCACCGCCTGTAGGAACATGAATCAAATCTCCATCATTTACTTTTTCTTAGCAATCTTTAGACTAGGAAGGAAGAGAAAGAATCATTCAATCCAATTCAAAAGTAAAGGCTCCTGGAAAGATTGGATTTAACTTAAGATGGAAGAAAAGTTTGTATAATGCTTCCTCCTGTGATATGGTACGAATCACCTGTTATTTGACATGTTATTTGTTATCCAGCTTAGTCTGGGTAGAGGATGTTTGGTAGAGGTTTGACTAATGAGGAGCCATTTTGAAAAAGGGAAATTATAAGAGAGGGTTGTCAATTGCCAATGAGAAAGTCAAACTGAGTTACAGAGCTTTGGATCACCCAAGCCTCCTAGAGGCATGGGGAAATAAGAAATCTGGGGTACACAAGCGTGTTAAGCCAGATCCCTTTGCAGAAAAGATTGGATGAAGATGGTAGGAGGCCACAGGTGGTTTCAATATTTTTCTAAAACTGCCAAATCAGGGAGTCTATGTGAAAATCTAAGAGAATATAGACAGCATTGATGCAAAGGAATCTGAAAAGGACCATGCCATTGAAAAGAAGTCAGGGGTTCCAAGCTTCTGAAGAAATTGGGCTGCCGCTCTAGGGCCCCTACACAGTCATCCTAAATGTGGAAGCCCTGGATTCAGGAAGCCCTGAAAGGTGTGCTGTGGGGTAAAGATAGACATATGGACCAACACTGTCACAACCAGATGGCTCCTGAGTGGCATTGTGGTTACATGATGCAGGGTCCGTATGCTTCCTTGGATAAGTGAGTTTATGGGGTCTAGCATTGGGTTAAATTTCAGCATGTGAAGGGTTGCACACCTTCTTTTAGGATAGGAACCAGATCTTTGACATCATCTAGGGGACTCCCAGACTAGGAAATGGCCCCCACCAAAACAAGTCAGTACCTCTTCTTCAATTTCTAGTCTTAGAAAGTTGCCTAGAGCATGGAAGGGTGAAGCAATTTGCCCAGGGTCACACAACCAGGGGTAGAACTTATTGGTAGCCGCTCCAGACACAGACTGAAAAGCTTCCATGTGTTCTTAGATGAAATAGGAAGTTGGGCCCTAATGATGATAGCAGTAGAACTTTATTTAGTCAAGTGGTAGGATTTCCACATTATGAGGCACAAGGTGGTACAGTGGATGGAGTGCTAGATATAGAACCAAGTTACTTAACTGTTATCTGCCTCAGTTTCCTCATCTGTAAAATGAGGATAATAATGGAACCTATGTTCCAGGGTTGTAAGGACAACATTAGATAATGTTTATAAAGTGCTCTGCAAACCTTAAAGTAATACATAAATGCTAGTTATTATTATGGTCCTTTGGCTGAAGAGTAAGTACTGCTTGGTATTATATATGTGGTATTAATTGGAATGGTGCTTTAATGTACTTAGGCACATTGGGGCATGGGCAATGAACCTAAATTCATTGTCTTCTGTCTAACATTAATCATAACATTCATCATAGCACAAAACAAGTCCTCAACTGAGCGCCAGTAAGGGCTATAATGAGAACAAAATATTACCTCCTCCCTCCAAGAGGACTAGTTATTATCAGTCATGGTTTATAGCATTCAGTCTGGGAAGAAACCACAATGCAAAATGAAGACTGATTTTGTGTTGCTAAACCCAGAGAAAGAATGATCGTCAGGTTTTCATGTCCTCGCTCTTCCAGATTTGCTATCTGTCCTTAGTAAAGCCACAATTCTGTTCTCCAGCTTCTCTTTTTCTTTCCCTTTTCCCCTAACATGGAGATAATGATATGAGCCACCTCATGGGAAAACCAAGGGAACAAAAATCAATTCTATCTCTTCCCCCTTCAGCATAATACTTATTGGACCATGATACAAATGCTTTGTAACAATGGTGGCATCTCTGGGCAAACTCTATATGGTATTAGAATTTATTATGTTATAATTTGGATTTTTTTTAAAACCTCAAGAGAAGCAGCATGGTGGTATAGTAGATAGAAGACATCAGAATCTGGATGACCTATGTTCCAGTCCTGCCTCTGATACATATTTTCTGTGTGATCTTGGAGAAGCAATTCAACACCTTGGTGCTCTAAGTAACTTTCTAACACTAGAAAGAGAATTGCCAATCTGTGTTGGTAGAAGGAATTTTCACATTGAGAAAATCTACACCAATGAAAACACAAGTCCAGATCAAAAAGATCAATTCTTTGAAACAATTCATATCAAGTCATGAATCAAACTTAAAATCTCCTGACAATATAAGTTTCCTTTTGTTTCATAGCTTTCTTAAGTTCCTACCACCATTTCAGGCTATGTCCCCATGGACTTTCTCAAGGACAGTTTCAGTTCCCATGCCATTCATCCAATGCCAAAAACAGTGCTTGGAATTTTATCCTTTCCCATTCAGAGTCATTTCTCTTGAGTAGAACTCGGAGTAATTACAACATTAGCACCCTTGATTGATGTTAATGCTAACTTATCTTACCCATCCCAGGGCAGTTGAATGGGATCACATTTGGCTCCTGAAACACATAATAAATATCATGTGTCTTAGGAAGGAAAAGTGGATGAGAAGATATCTAATGAACTGATATTTCTGTGGTGCAAAGCAGAGCTATTCTTCAATATCATTCCTGCCTAATGGCCTCAATTTTTTTTTCTAAGTAAAATAGAAGGCAAATTTCTTAACTGAGAAGCTGGGGTGATGGTAAAGTTTGAGAAGAGATTAAAAGATTTTGGAATAGCCACTGTGGTAAGTGGGACATTAAGTCAATTAGGGAAGTATGAAGAGTTTGTCTTGCTACAGATTTGTAGTGGATTTGGTCAGCATGATTTGTAATTTTCTCCACATTCTTTTAGCAGCACATGAATGGGAAAAAAGTGGGAATAATTCAAGACTGAGGCTTGTTGTCAGGGCAAGATTGGGGGAAGGGACTTGAATAAGACAATTATGACAGACACTTTCAGCAACCCTCCGTATATTTGGTCTCTTAATATTAATAATTTCAGGGTTGAACAAAATGAACATTGTTGCTACTTATTTCAAAGAGTATTGTAGGATTTTGATATCTGCATGGGAGCCACCTTGTTGTAGGAGAACCTTGAAGGGGTCTTTTGCTCTACCAAATCAAATGCTTTTTTGTATGCATAAAAATATGCATAGTAAAACAGAACAAAACAAATAAAACAAAAAACACAAAGACCATTCCTGCCTAAAGAGGAGACTAAGCAAATATGTATGATATGTGAGATCAGATCTCCATTAAATAGCCAACTGGTCAGAAACCAAACCATAATTTGGTTATAGTACAATTGACAATTTGGGGTTTGACTTTAAAGTCACAATACACAGGCCTACTGTTAGCTACAGATTCACTAAAAGGCAATTACGACATATGGGTTATGTGATATTTTTCTACTAACTCAGCTTGTAATGTATAAAGCAAATGTGTTTTGGAGCATACAAAGTCCAGGTACTCTGCATATATTTCCTATTTAATGGAAAACATGGGTAGGGAAGCAAATATTTTGTCTAAGCTAATCCAAAGCAATCTCCTGCAGTGTTCATTAAAAATATTAGCTCTACCGGCAGGGGAGCTGAGACGTGATTAGTTGCCGTGGCTCAGCTCCTTAAGTGAGATTAGCTCGAAGTGCAGCATGAGAACACCATACAACGTCTAATAAGAATGAGCATTTTACTGTCCTTACCACTGCTGCCACTTTAATTGAGATGAATTATGGAAGGAATGATTGTTTCCTTGTAACTTATTTTCTTTGCAGACTCTTTAGCAGTGAAAGAGATGCTGTTAAGGCTGGATATGAAAATCTAATATATGATAGAGGTTTACTGAGGTCACATATTCATGTACAAGTTGGCATACAAGGCTCACACAATTATGAGTTCATCACCCCAATATGTTACCTTAGTATATTTCTCACTGAGAGTTTCCTGAAGGAAACAGATGGAAATCCATTAAAATTGCAGAGTGTAGATGCCAAATAAGAAAAATAAACATTAACCCACCAGTCCAATAACTACAAGAAATTAAGACAAGACTGATATAAATCAGGTACTGGAAAATAAGTTTTTGTTTTTCTTTAAAAACCTTATGCTGTATTTCCAAGAGTTTAACAGTGTTATGTTGAGGGAAAGGGGCATGATCACTTTAACAATAGAAATGTGTCTGGAAAGAAAGTCTGTAAAGCTGTAGGGAAGTTACTGCATTGTATAATAGGGAACTTAAATACCACAAATTAGGTATTTGGGTGCAAATTAAGAAAAACTAGACTCTAGTTTCAAGGACCAAAGAGTTAAGACTAAGGACAGCATACAGGTGGTGAAACTCTTCTCCAACTGGAAAAAGGCAAGGATTTGTAATGGTGACATGAAAATGCAGTTTTAATTTAAAAATTGGCTCTAATCATTGTTCTTTTCTTCTTTGGGCTTCTGTCAAACCACATGAAGCAGGAAGGGACTTACTTAAGAAAAGATAAGGGGGCATTGTATGGTCAGATAACAAAATATTGAGTGACAACCAACTGAAAGACTCTCTCTCTCTCTCTCTCTCTCTCTCTCTCTCTCTCTCTCTCTCTCTCTCTCTCTCTCTCTCTCTCTCTTTCTCCCTCAGATAAAGTCTGAAGGAAAAACATCAGGAGTTTGATATGTGGTGAACTTGCTAAAAGTCCCAGAACTAGAGACAAACTTTGGACAAACCAAGAAAGGATTAGGGTGGATTAGATAAGTAAACTCTACTTCTGTTTGAAAATAGATTTGGGATTAGTCTAAATAATGATCAATCGCAGACAAAGGTAAGTGAGAAAGGTGACTAATTGCACCACAAATATTTGTACTGCTTGAAATCTTGTGCAAAATCTTGTGTACTACAATGGAGAGACTGAGAAAGCCCAGAAACCAGCACATCTAGAAAACATATGATCTCCTTGCCATGTGGAGAGGCAGGGAAGCCAGTGGCAACACTGGTTGGAGAGTGCAGCTTCATTTATAAAATATTACAA